AGCTACTCCTGAAACCGGAACACTGTCTGCACTGGGAATAGAGCTGCCAGGCCTGGGATGCCGTCCCTCACCCCGATGGAGGTCACACCTGGCGCCCTGCTGCTGTCCTCATGGCTAGGTGGCCTGGCGGTCACTGTCAGCGCCTCCGTCACTGGCCAAGGCCAGAGAGACTCAGTAAAGCTCTTGGCTGGGCACAGCTCAGCCCTGAAAAGCAGCATCTTCTCTGTCTCAGCTGGAGCCCAGATGCCCCCTCAGGTCACTAGCAGGTGTCCTGGTACTGGAGCTCTAGCAAGGAGCATCCAGGTTGGCTCCAAGTAGTGTCCTTTTTAAATGTTTCGGGGAGGGTTGGGGGGGGGGACACTGGGAATGTGGCTTCATGGTAGAGTGCTGGCCTAGCATGCATGAAGCCCTGGGTTTGATTCCTCAGTACCACATATACAGAAAAAGCCCAAGAGGCACTGTGGCTCAAGTGGTAGAGTGCTAGCCTTGAGCAAAAGCAGCTCGGGGACAGTGCCCAGGCCCTGAGTTCAAGCCCCAGGACTGAGATCTCATGCCTGTAATCCTTGCTACTCGGAAGGCTGAGATGTGAGGATTATGGTCTGAAGCCAGCTCAGGTGGGACAGTTCATGAGACTCTTACCTCCAACGAACCAGTAAAAAGTAGGAAGTGGAGCTGTGGCTTAAGTGATAGACCCTTGAGCAAAAAAGCCAAGTAAGAGCACAAGGTCCTGAGTTCAATACTCAGTACCTGCCCACATACACATATGCACACACCAGAAAACACATGTGAAATGTGCCTGCTGTGAGAGATGCCATTTGGGCTTCCTGCCTTGGTCTCCCTCTGATGCCCAAGGGAGCTGGACAGAATAAATAAATGTGCCTTAGGCCTTTGTTGTCCCTGTGGTTCTGTGTGGCCTTTGGTCGTAGCGCTGTGCCCTAGAGGGCACACACTGAGCACTGAGCTAGATGCCAGGGGCAGGGAGCCCGTGTGGGCAGAGGAGGGGGGTGGCAGGGGAGGGCCCTGGCCTCTCTCTGCCTTGCATCCACCTCTCCAGCCCCCATCACACCGCGGTGGGGGGCTCTGGGTTTCTGGGCTCAGCTGGCGCAAGCCGGCAGGGGTTCTGTCTTCACACAGCTACCAGGCACTCGGTGATGATGTCTGCAAAGCCAGCCTGCCAGTCCCCTGCTGGCCTGGGTGGTCCATGGTAATTACTCCAGCTTTCCATCTGGAGGCTGAGGGTCAGCACCCCATGGAGGAGGAGTACAGGACACAGGTGGCCCGCAGGGGTGCGGGATCTGCCACCTGCGTGTGGTCTAAGCCGGCCTTGTCTGCAGTGGGAGTGGGCCCTCAGGATGGCGGAGCCTACCACATGGCAGGATCGGGTAGACGAGCCCTCTGAGGGGCCAAGGAGGAGTGGGACCTGGGCAGCTCAGTGCTTGACCTGACCTCACGCCCATGCTGAGGCTCTACAGCTCCTCCAGCGACACAGACCTGGCCTCCCACTCTGATATTGGTGTCTAGGGCCCCAGATCTCCACATTTGGGGTGTTTGGTTGTGTGTGCCCATCCTAGGATTTGAACTCTGGGCCTGGGCGCTGTCCCTCAGCTCTTCAGCTCAAGGCTAGCAATCTACCGCTTGAGCCACAGCGCCACTCCAGCTTTTTTCTTTTTGTTTATGTGGTGCTGAGGAATCAAACCCAGGGCCTCAGGCATGCAAGTGCTCTACCACTGGGCCACCTTCCCAGGCCGGATCCAGTCTGTTCTAAAGGCCAAGAGGACATGGGAACTGCTGTAGGGATTTTCTGTCCTTGTTCCCACCCTGAGCAGTACCTGATCCTGAAGTCAGCAGCAAGGCACACCTACCATGTACCACCTGACTGGGTTCTCAGGTACAGATCTCTATTGTAGGCAGGGCAGGAGGTTACTAGCTTCCTCTCACCTCCTCCTCCTAAGGCTCTCCTCTCCAGCCCTCTGTACTCCTCTTGACTGCATCATGAGGCTGAAGATGCCCAGAGAGCCTTCGAGCTGGCTGCTGGTCCTCCCTCCATGGGAAGTAACCCCTTCTACCACTATGCTGGCCCTGGGGTACAACCTGTCCAGAAGAAGCAAGAATCCTGATTCCCAGGAGCCCACCTGCAGGCTGCACAGGAGGCTCACACCTGTAATCCTAGCTACTCAGGATGCTGAGCTCTGAGGATCGCAGTCTGAGCCAGCCTGGGCATTGAAGTCTGTGAGACTCTTACCTCCACTAAACTAAAAAAGCTATAAATGGAACTGATTAAAAGTGATAGGCTGGGAAGGTGGCTCAGTGGTAGAGTTCCTGAAGCCCTGGGTTTGATCCCTCAGCTCCACACCACATGAGCAGAAAAAGCCAAAAGTGGTGCTGTGGCTCAAGTGGTACAGCGCTAGCCTTGAGCTGAAGAGCTGAGGGACAGTGCCCAGGCCCAGAGTTCAAGCTCCACGACCGGCAAAAAAATAAAAAATAAAAGTGATAGAGTGTTAGCTTTTAGCAAAACAAGGTCAGGGACAGTGCCTAGGCCCTGAGTTCCAGCCAAAGGACCAGCACCAAAAAAAAAAAAATAAGGAAAAACAAAGTAGGGTGCTGGATGCCCAGCTGTTGTCCAACTTTTAGTTAATTCACAGACAGACCCAAACAAAGCAGCTTGCAAATTGCCCTTTCAAATACCAGGATTTGCTGGGCATAGGTGGCTAATGCCTATAATCTGAGGATCACGGTTCAAAGCTAGCTTGGGCCTTTCAGAAAGTCCTTGAGACTCTTATTTCCAGTTAACCACCAGAAAACTGGAAGGGGCACTGTGGGTCAAATGGTAGAGCGCTAGCCTTGAGCCAAAGAGCTCAGGAAAGTGCCTAGGCCCAGAATTCAAGCCCCACGACTGACAAAAACAAAAACAAAAAAACCGCAGGATTTGAACTCAGAGCCGTAAGCTTGCTAGATAAATACCACTGAGCTACATCCCTAGCCCTTTCTTGTGTTGGTTCTGGACTTTAATCTACCTATCAAGCTTCTTGTAGCTGAGATGACAGGTACATACCACCATGCGTAGCTTCCTTCTATTGACATGGAGTCTCACAGACTTGTCTGTGCTTGCTAGCCTGGAATTGAGATCCTCTAATTGTCAGCCTCCCAAGTAGCTAGGATTACAGGTGTGGGCAACCAACTTCTGGCTCTCCTGTTTGTTTTGACTACAGAGGCCTCCCCAACTCCAAGCTGGTAAATTAGAGCTTGAAAGACAAACAATATTTAAACAAGTCCCAGCTGGGCTTCCCTCCCAACAGGAAATCTACCTTTTTGTGCTATACAAACAAACACAGGGTGGTCCTCCCCAAGTGGATCAGGGCACACAGCTTGCTTTTGGCAGCCCAGCCCCACTGGCTATGCCAAATGAAATGCAAGATTCCCAGATAAACAGTGAAAATTTCTCCAGCAGATTTTTTTCAGCACCCAGTGCTGAATGCATCTTTGACAGCTGGACTATCTTTTATTTAAACATGGTGAAACTTAAAATTATAAGGAAATTAGTACTTAAAGACCAACCCTTGCTAATTATGGACATTCATGGGAAGGCCCCATGAGTTACCTTCTGTGCACAAAAATAGCTGCTAAAACCAAAACCAGGTGCTGGTGGCTAAGCCTGTAATCTTAGCTACTCAGGAGGCTGAGATCCAAGTGTCACGGTTTGAAGCCAGCCAGGGTAGGAAAGCCTGTGAGACTCTTATCTCCAATTAACCAGCAAAAGGCTGAAAGTAGAGCTGTGGCTCAAGTGATGGAGCACTAGACTTGAGCAAATAAGTTCATGGACAGTGCCCATACCCTGAGTTCAAACCCCAGTACTGGCACACACAAAAATAAAAGTACTCAGGGCTGGGAAGGTGGCTCAGTGGTAGAGCA